GGAAAGGAGACAGTTACCTACAAAGGAGTTCCAATTAGACTAACAACTGATTTCTGAAAAGAAAACTTGCAGGCAAGAAGGGGCTGGAAAGAAGTATTCCAAGTCATGAAAGGCAAAGACCTACATCCAAGATGACTCTATCCAGCAAAGCTTTCATTTGGAATGGAAGGGCAGATAAAGTGTTTCCTAGATAAGGTCAAGTTAAAGGAGTTAATCATCACCAAGCCCTTATTATATGAAATGTTAAAGGGACCTAACTAAGAAAAAGAAGATGAAAAATATGAACAGTAAAATGACAACAAACTCAAAGCTATTAACAACTGCACCTAAAAAACACAAAACAAAAACAAACTTAGCAAACAATAGAACAGGAACAGAACTGCAGAGATGGAGATCACATGGAAGGTTATCATTGGGGAGGGGGAGGAGGAAAAAGGGGTAAAAGGTACAGAGAAAAAATAGCATAGATGGTAGGTAGAAAATAGACAGGGGGAGGTTAAGAATAGTATAGGAAATGAAGAACCAGAGAACATATATGTACAATCCATGGACATGAACTGAAGGGGGGTGGGCTACAAGGTAGAGGGGAAAAAAGAAGGGGAAATGGGACACCTGTAATAGCAAAATCAATAAAATATATTTAAAGCAATAAATAAATAAAAATAAAATCTTTTAAAACACCCTCTATACCAACAAAAAACCCCAATCCAATTATTAAATGGGCAAAGGACCTGAATAGACACTCTCAGAGGACATACATCTGGCCAATAGACATATGAAAAGATGCTTATTATCACTAATCATCAAAGAAAATGCTAATTAAAACCACAATAAGATATCACCTCACACATGTCAGAATGGTTGTCATCAATAAATCAACAAACAGCCCTGGCTGGTGTGGCTCAGTGGATTAAGTGCCAGCCTGTGAACCAAAGGGTCGCTGGTTGGATTCCCAGTCAGGGCGCCTGCCTGGGTTGTGGGCCAGGTCCCCAGTAGGGGGCATGAGAGAGGCAACCACACACTGATGCTTCTCTCCCTCTCTTTCACCCTGTCTCTCTAAAGATAAAGAAACCTTTTTTAAAAAAAACAAATAAACAACAGGTGTTGGTGAGGATGTGAAGAAAAGGGAACCCTTTTGAACTGCTGGTGGGAATGCAGACTGGTGCAGTCACTGTGGAAAGCAGTATGGAAATACCTCAAATAATTAAAAATGGTTTTGTCTTTTGACCCAGTAATTCCAATTCTAGGAATTTATCCGAAGAAACTCAAAACCCTCATTTGAAAGAACACAAGCACCCCTGTGTTCACTGTAGTGTTACTTACAACTGCCAAGATGTGGAAGCCGTCCAGCACCCATCAGTAGATGAGTGGGTAAGGCAGCTGTGGGACATTTACACGGTGGAGTACCTCTCAGTCATAAAAAAGAGAAAAAGTTTACCCACTGCGACAGTAAGGATGGACCTGGAGCACATTATGCTGAGTGAAATAAGCCTGTCAGAGAAAGACAAGTACCATACGATCTCATTCATACGTGGAATCTAATGAACAAACAACTAACAGGCGCAAAAGAGGCAGACTCGGATGGAGAGTGGGCTGACAGCTGTTGGTAGGGAGGTGGAGGGACTGAGCAAAAGAGAAAGAGAGAGCCATGCGTTTTCAGTCAGATTCCTCACCCTCGCAGCCCCAGGCCGCCCCGATCTGTTCTCCGTCTCTATCGCTTCGCCTTTTCTGGCCATTTTATATAACAGAAATCATACCCTATGTGGTCTCTTGTGTCTGGCACACTTAGCATGTTTTCGAGGGCTTCGTAGTATTTTGCCGGACAGTATTTTGCCGAATAAAATATGTAAAATGGCTGATAATATTGCATCAATGTTAATTTCTTAGTTTATATATTGGAAAAATGGTTATATAATTTTTTTAAAGATTTTATTTATTTATCTTTAGAGAGGAAGGGAAGGAGAGAAGGAGAGAAACATCAATGTGTGGTTGCCTCTCGTGAGTCCCCTGCCGGGAACCGGCCTGCAACCGAGGCATGTGCCCTGACTGGGAATCGAACCGCAATCGTGTGGTTCGCAGGCCCGTGCTCCATCCATTGAGCCACGCCAGCCAGGGCTGGTTATATAAAATTTTAATATCAGAGGAAACTGGGTGAAGGGTATGTGGGAACTGTGCTATTTTTGCAACTTTTTTTGTTTCTTTTTTTTTTTAAGATTTTATTTATTTGCCCTGGCTGGTGTGGCTCAATGAATTGAGTGCCAGCCTGTGAACCAAAGGGTTGTGGGCCACGTCGCCAGGTGAGGGTGCGTGAGAGGCAACCACACACTGATGTTTCTCTCCCTCTCTAATTCCCTCCCTTCCCCTCTCTCTAACAATAAATAAATAAGTAATGTTTTTTAAAAGGGATTTTATTTATCTATTTTCAGAGAGAGGAAGGGAGAGAAAAAGAAAGGGAAAGAAACATCAGATTCTCACACGCCCCCTACTAGGGACCTGGCCTATAACCAAGGCAGGTGCCCTGATTGAGAATCAAACCTGCAACCCTTCCGTTCACAGACCAGCGCTCAATCCACTGAGCCACAACAGCTGGGGCTATTTTTTACAACTTTCTGTAAGTAAAATAATTTCAAAATAAATCTTTTCTTTTTCTTTTTCTTCTTTTTTTTAGCTTAAGCTTATGGTCTGAGTTGTGCACTCCTTATGATGGTCTATGGTACCGAAGTTGTGATTTCTTTTCAACATAATGCTTCTGACGGCCTTTCCACTCCCCGGAGGTCCTTTTTGAGCTCAGCTTCTAGAATGTTCTCCGGGGTCAAGTGGGGGCTGTAGTGCAGAGGGCGTGGGTTCTGAGAAACAGAGGCCAGTTCTGCCCGGGTTGGGGGGGGGGGACTTATCTCACTTCCCTCCTGATGACTTGGGGCTGCTCGGTAGGGGGGTGGGGTGGGAAGCGGGTGGGGGCTGGTGCCTGGAGGGCCTTAGGCTGCCCCTCTGTTGCCAGAGCAGACTCTGCTCAGGCTGGGACTTGAGAGGCCAGGCCAGCGCAGAGGGAGGGAGGTGCAGATGGAGGGCCTTGGGGAGGGCTGCAGGGCTGTGACCCGGGACTTCCTCAGAACTGCTCTTTGTTCTTGGTCAGCTTCCTGTTGCCAAAGCAAAAGCATGTGAGCTCGGAGGGAGGATGTTGAGGTCTCAGAGCAAATGAGAGCTTGGCAGAGAAGAGGGTCTGAACACGTACAGGAACCCACAGACACACGCACAGGCGATGGAGAGGCTACGGTTCACTCCCAAGCACTGGGACCCTGAGAGGGCCACATGGGCATGGCACATGCTGACCAATGGGCACTGGCCCCCCTCCAGCGTGTGTCCCACCCTTCAGGAGACTCTGGGCTGCAGGGGCAGCCAGGGCAGGGGCTGTGGCTAGGCCAGGTCTCAGGGAAGAAGGCAGAAGGCCGAGTGGGCAGCTAGTGGGCTGCAGGATGCACCTGGTGTGTATTCCCTGCTGCTCCCACTCATGTCTAAGCATCTGTCAGCAACCAGTCACTGAGCTCCTACTGGTCAGATCTGGAGCTCCTGCCCTGCCCTTGAGGAGCCTGCAGCGCCCCTGGGGTGTGGGGAGCAGCTGGTTGGGGTGGGGGCAGGGGGGCCAGAATGGCCACTCACTGGCACTGGCCAGGTGAGGAGAGTAAAAGGGGTACGCAGCCTTCAGACTGGAGCCTGGCCTTGGGGCAGCAGGAAAGGAGGAGGGGATGGGGTGCAAAGGCATGGCGGTGAGGGGAGCCAGGCCACCATGGTGACCCAGGCCTGCTGCAGACCCAGCTGCTCTGTGTCTGCCCCTCTACTGCACGGCCTGTGTTTGCCTGTGGCCCCGCTTCTCCTGCTGGTGCTCATGTGGGGGTCTGCGGTCTGCCGCCACTCACCAAACCTACTTCGAAGGACCATGAGCAGAAAGGAGAAGTGGGCTTGTGGTGTAGACAGGCTAAACAGCTGGCCCAGGTGACACTGCCTCCCTCCTGTCACAGAGGCTCCAGCCCCCTCAAGGGGGCTGGTGTGTGCCTCCAGCTGTCTTCAGCAATTTCCCCCCTCACCCGAACTCCCTTTTCTGAAGTTCTAAGGAAGTTTTTAGAACTGTATCATACTGCCTTGGGTCAGCCTTGGCTCCATGGTCAGTTTTGGCTCCAATGTCCTTCCCACAATCCTGGGGGAGGCAGGGGCAGCTCTGTCCAGAACACAGGACCTGCATACAGGGAGTGTCAGGGCCTCAGGAAGGAGGGCTGCAGGCAGGCAGAAACAGCAGGGGACTGGCCCAGGGTCAGAGGCCGGCCGGGAGAGGATGAGTTCAGCTGTCCTGACTGGGCTCGCCCACACACCAGGCTGCCTGCAGGACCCACCCAGGTACACGGAGCCTGCACAGCTGTGAGGCGAGCAGGCAGCAGACTTCCTGGCAGAAAGCGAGCCCTTGGCTGTGCCCAGAGTGGGCTGGTGGCTTGGGTGGCCTGCAGTCAGAGTTGCAAGTTACAAAGCAGCCTTGTTTGGGGGCTGGGGAAAGAAATAAGTGGGTGTGGATGAGTAGGTGGTAGGTCCAGGCTGGAAACCCATAAGGAGCCTTTGACCTGTGCCTGGGTGAGATATGACTGGGGCAGGGTGGGGCTCGAAAGGGGGCACTGGGAGTGAGTGTGAGAGTGAGTGGGACTTGCTGGTGGGCAGGAGGCAGGGGTCCTGGGCACTCAGGAGACTCCGGTGTCCTCAAACAGACCTGGGACAAGGGGTGGTCTGGAGGGCCAGCTGGGATCTGCTGAGGGTGCAGGGCTTGGGGAACACGAGGATGACATGGTGGCTGGACACACCTGAGACTAGAGCACAGCCGGGTGGACTTCTGGAGTTGTCAGTACAGGGCTTGGCACAGGAGCTGAAGGACTGGGAGGAAGTGGCCAGGCCGTCCCAGCCGGCTGCTCTCTCCCGCCCAGATTCCTCAGACCCTGGTTTCCGCCTGTTCGGTCTGACCAGGCTCCCTGCCTCTCTCTGGCCGTGGTCACGCCCTGCCCCTCAACCCCCTCCATCTTGAAGGGGCGGGAGAATAGGCTGCTTCTCCTCTCCTGGGCCATCCTCTGAGCGGCAGCTAGGCCGGGGCTGATAAGAGCTTGCAGCTACCCCCTTCCACACCTGCTGGCCCAACAAAGCCACCGGCACCACCATGAAGGACGAAGTGGCTCTTCTGGCCACTGTCACCCTCCTGGGAGTCCTGTTGCAAGGTGAGCAGGCTCCTATTTGGGAGGTGGATGGGCCTCACGCCCTGCAGCCTGCCCTCTGCCCTGCTGGTCCTGGGAGGTACTGGAGGGCCTGGGGCCTAGGTAAGGGGGAGAAGCAGGGCCTCTGGCCCAGACTCTGGCTCCGAACTCTTCTAACCCCACTGATTCTACTACTGGAGGCTAGGATGCCCTGGGGCTGAGGGGAAGGGGTTAGTCCCGAAGGAACGTCTGCAAGACGAACTGTGAAACCCTGGGCGGGACCAAGGCTCACAGGGCAGCCAGATAGAAACAGGCCCCTGAGGGGTGACTGAAGTAGGGACACCAGACACCAAGCAACTGAGGTGGCGGCACCTCAACCAGCATAAAAAACCCTCAAGGAGACCAGGGGCTTCAGGGAGCAGAGGTGTGCCAGGAGGAATGGGTGGCCTGGTGCCGGGGGCCAGCGGGGGGGGGGGGCGGCGGGGGCCCAAGTGGGACGGACATGGGCCTGATGCGGCCCTGCTACTGCCAGGCCCCGCCCTCTCCAGCTGTCCCCTCTCGGGGTGTTCCAGCAGGAAAGCCCCATTCCCGAGCCTTGCCTTCAAAGGCACCGTCTCTGTGGTGGGACCCTGTGAAACTGGACAGGGTTGAAACTTGCCAGGCCCCAAAAGATGCCAGCTTGGTACCCTTCTTAGGGCCGTAGAGGACACACTCCTGAGTCGGATGTCCCTACTGCTTGGGATACCACAGTATATGGGCCAGGACAAGACAGAGCCTGGGGGACAGGCCTGAAGAGGCCCTGCGGACTCATCAGCAAGCTTGGCCCTTAGCCCCTAGTCCTGCAGCCACAGGGCCTCCCCCAGATCCCACGCCGTGTGGGCCTAGCCACCCCTGGCACCCACAGTGCACCAAGGGTTCGAGAGCCACAGGACTTGCAGGAAGATAGCTGGGGATACCCAGCATGGGGCTGGGTGTGGTGAAGGCCTGGCCTGGGGTTAAAAGAAGGACCCCTGCAATGCAGATTGCCTAGGGCAAGCCCCCCCTACCCCCGTACTGGAAGGAAGGTGGCAGGGCCCTTGGGGGCCTGGGGTTGGACAAGAACATCCTGGCTGCAATGCCAGGGGGGCAGGGAAGAGAGCGTCTGTTAGATTTAGGCCCAAGTACCTGCACAGAGAAACTGAGGAGGCCACGCCTGTGCAGAAGCACAGGAACTCCTGCTAAGTGCTGTATCTAGAGGGGGGACAGGAGGAGCTGGGCATTCGCTTGTATTTTGCAAGTCAAATGGTTTCCAAGGAAAGTCTGAACGGCCTGCCCATGGCAGCTGTTCCTGTGACTGGCATCCCCTTCCCCTACACTCCTAAGGGTGCCCCAGGATGCACCCTGCCCTTCCTGCTAAGCGTCATGGACGCAGGGCAAGCCCCAGCAGAGCAGAGCAGGGACTGGAGGTCCCCCGGAGAGTGTAGTCCGACGAGTTCAGTGTGGAGGCAGGAGTAGAAGGTATGAGGCCAGATGGGAGGCGGGGTCCAGGGGAGGCTGTGGGGAGCAAGCGGCTGGCTAGACCTGACGCCAACCCACTTCGCCCCCAGCCTACTTCTCCCTGCAGGTAATCTCGGCGCGCAGGGCCTTCCGCGTGTCGCCGCCGCTGACCACCGGCCCACCAGAGTTCGAGCGCATATACAGAGCCCAGTGAGACGCAGCGGGAGGGGGCGAGGCGGGATGTGGAGCAAGGGAGCCCCGGGCCACAGGGTCCAAGGCCCAGGTGGATGCCCTCACACCGCCCTGCCCCCACCGCAGAGTGAACTGCAGCGAGTACTTCCCTCTGTTCCTGGCCACGCTCTGGGTGGCCGGCGTCTTCTTCCACGAAGGTCTGGGAGCAGGGCAAGGGCGCATGCACCAGGGCCCAAGGGTCCCCACGCCAGTGAGCTCACGCCACCCTGTCTGGCCCTCCCCCAGGTGCAGCAGCGCTGTGCGGCCTAGCTTACTTGTTTGCGCGCCTCCGCTACTTTCAGGGCTACGCACGCTCGTCACAGGAAAGGTGAGAACCAGGGCCGGGAAAGGAGGCTATCGCGCTGGGTCAGGACAGTCAGGCCGACAGCTGACGGCACCAGGGAACTGGCCTGATATGGGACCATTTTGGGCGCTAGGGGAGTGGGCTGGGGTGGAAGTCCTGGTGGGGCTGGTGGGCCGAGCGGGGCGGGGGGCCATGAGCTGGAGGCGGGGCTGCTACATGCCCCGCCCAACCCCGCCCCCACTGAGCTCCGCTTGCAGGCTTTCCCCGCTGTACGCAAGTGCACACGCACTCTGGCTGCTGGTGGCGCTGGCGGCGCTCGGTCTGCTAGTCCACTTCCTCCCAGCCTCGCTGCGCTCCGCACTCCTGGACAACATCGGGACACTGCTGCCCAGCGCCTGAGGCCGAGGACCCGGGGTCTGCAGGGCTGGAAGGGAGCTGGGCCGTCTGGGGAACGGGGGGGGGGGGGGGGGGGGCGGTGTGGCGGTGCTTGCCCTTATCCCAGGCTCTAATTAAAGTGCTCCTGACCGGATCCCAGATCCCGAAAGCTCTCTCTGGGGCGGACGAGGTGGAGCCTGGCGGGCCCAGCCCCGGGCCGCAGCAGTCGGGTGGGCTTCGTGGGGGCAGCGGGGGTCAGGCTGAGAAAGGAAAGGGGCCTCCCCCGGGCAGGGTCGATCCGTCCGCTTCAGCCCTGCTCCCGGCCTGCAGATGTTCGCTCTTGCCAAGGCCCACCCAGGGCCCCTACTCCCCGTGATCAGCGCTGTCCTCGCCTGCCCTCTTAGGCCTCCCCTGCCCTCTTAGGCCTCCCCCTATTCCTTGTCCCCTGGTCCTCATAGCTGACCTCAGGAACCCTTTCTTCTCAGCACTCGGGCCCCGCCATCTAGAATAGCGGAGGTATCCGGGGCATGCTGCCACGAAGCCATGGGGACCATGGACGTGGGCACTGTCCTCGCGATAGCGCTTTCAAAAGTCCGGGTGCTTTGAGGGACCAGAGTCAGGGAGGCCTGCTGGCCGGAAATAACGTCCAAAAAGAAAAAAGATGACTTTTAGCCAAGTCGGAAGGGGAGCTTTCCAAGCAGGACAACAATGTGGGCAGTGGCCCCGAAGTGGACAAGGGTCCCTAAAATGTGTCAGAAACTGTGTAGGGTGAGCGGGGCCTTGGGGGCTGGACGAGGGCAAGGCTGAGACCAGCGAAGGAAGAACGAGGTGGGGAGATGTCTTGGGTTTGAGAGGCCCCACCTCAGGCAGTTGGGGTGGGGAATGGAAGGTAGCAGTGCTTGAGGGTCCGTGGGGATTCTGCGGGGGGCCCCAGATTCCTCATGACTCCACCCGCGAGCATGCAGACCCTCCAAAGTGCCCCAGAACTTAGACTGAACTGTCCTGGGGAAATGGGCTTGAGGTTGTAAGGAGCTGTTCAGAGGCTGCAGCAGGGTAACATCACCTGTCTGCTGCCCCCCCTCCACCAGCTGGCTCAGAGCACCAGGCAGGAGGCACATACTTTGTTAACCCTTTATTACAAGTCACGTTCTTATAGAAGTATATGTGGACTTAAGTGAAAAAATCAAATGTATCCAAGAATAAAAAACACAGCACATAAAGTAGCATATGCATTCCAGTGTTCGCGCCGGAGACAGCGGGCGCCCAGCAAAACGCTCTTCCAAAACGGCCTGGCTCAAGCCAGCCGGCTGCGAACGGTTCAGGGCGGCACAGGCCAGCCTCAGGCACAGTGTGGGGGCCACCGCTCCCTCCCGCGGGCGGGCGGGCAGCACCGGCTCCTGGGGCGTCCGGGCCAGCGGCGGCCCCAGGCTGCTGAGAGGTACCAGGAACAACCCCTCAGGCTGGGTGGACCACCTCTGGCCCTCTGGGGACAGCAGCGAAGACATCCCTGGCGTCCTGGGCTTCAGGGCCAGTCCTCAGAAGCCCTCCCTTAGTCGGCCTTTTTCAGGAAGATCTGAAAGAGCCGGCCGGGGTCAGCAGGGGCCACAGAGCTGGCCCATAGCCCCTGGGAGCAGCCCCTAGTTCCCTGTGCCCTGCCTCACCTCACTCAGAATGACCCACACCGGTGAGTCTGTCTGGATGGAGAGGCGCAGTGCTTCCAGGGGACCGAAGGCGGGGTCCACCTCCCCCTCGGCCACACCTTTGTAGAAGGAGCCTGGGGGGAACAGCACTGAGAGCTCGTCCTGGGCCTCTGCTTGGGCCAGGCTCTCCCCCGCCTCCCCCCCCGCCTGACCCCACTCACCTATCTGGAGGTAGCCGTCAGGGCTCCGTGGGTACCGGAGAGTGGCTGAGCGGCCCTCCTGTAGGGCCTCTTTGTCCGCCTGTGGGCTCTGGGGGCAAAACCAAGGGGCTGCAGCCAGGGGCTGTGGGAGAGGCCGGCCTCAGGGCGCAGCCACCCCTGCCACACTCACGTCGAAGGGCAGCACCTCCACAGAGGTGTTGAAGAGCTTGTCCTCCGGGTGCTCGATGTTCCCGCTACGGAAGAAGAACCTGCAGCCAGGCAGGCCCGTGAGCTGCTGCAGGGTGGGCACTGCCCAGGAATGCTGCCCAGCGGAGCAGAGGCCAGGCCGGGCCCAGGTGGTGGGCCAGGCTGGCCACCAGGGCCAGGCGAGGTTACCGAGGCTGTGCAGGGTAACCAGGGCTTCCTCACAGGGACGAGGGTGATGGGCAATGTCACTGAGCCCCTGCGTCCTGCCTGACATAGTCTTTACAGAGTAGCTGCTGTTACCCACCCTACTCTTCAGACGAGGAAGCTGAGGCATGGCAGGGAACACTGAGGAATTTGTGGGGGGGTCGGAGAAGTGTGTGGCAAGGCCTGGACCCTGGCAGCCACCCGCCCCTCCTCCCAGGGGGCCCATGGGTGTGTCACTGACCGCTCAAGACGCAGTGGCTGGAAGAAGCGGAAGCGGATGAAGTCCCCTGCAGCAGGCGTGAAGGCCCAGAAGAAATCCTCGCGCAGGTAGGCCTTCTCCAGGGTGAAGTGCTGGTATGTCTTGAGGCTAGTGCTCACTTCCGCCGGGGGGTTCACGTGCTCCTTCCGCAGTGCCTGCTTTCCGAAGTCCTTGTCCTGTGGTGCCAGAGGGACAGTGCCACTGGAGCACAGCCTGGCCTGGCCCTGCCGGCCCCTCGCCCAAACGCCCGCTGAGTCTCTGCCTGCACTCAGCCAGGCTCATGCGGGGCCCAGCCCACCTTCAGCTTCTGAATCTTGCCCGCCAGCGAGGAGTGTGTGCCCACGTGCTGGAAGAGGGACGGCTTGAAGCGGATGCGGAGGTTGGCCTTCTGCCGGTCACAGTGCTTCTGTGGAGGGAGGGTGACACTCCAGGCTGAGCTCGTGCCCCGCCTCGGAGGACAGAGCCTCATCTTTTAGAGTCGGAAGTGTGCCCCACTGCCCGGCCTGTCTCTGTCAGTCCCTGCTCACCGCGTCCTTCTCAGGGTTGCAGACCTTCACCCACAGGATATGGTCCAGGAGCCAGTCGATGGGCTTGTCCCGGTAGAACATGAGGATGAACTCCACTATCAGGCTCAGGTCCAGCGACTTGAACATCTTCCCTGATGGGGGAGCGGGGAGGGGTGCTGAGTGGGCAGCTCTGCCCTGCCCTGCTTTCTCACAGTCCCTGTGGGAGCCACTGGGGGGGGCCCACAGCAAACCCTGTGGCCAGCTGCAGGCAGGTGTGCCTCTGAGGGCGGGTGGGAACAGGCCAGATGCGCTGCAGTGGCCACTCCAGGCAGAGATCCCTAACATTGCCAGGTGGGGGGTTCGGGGCCCAGGGCAAGGTGAGGGGATCATGACAGAGAAGCAGAGGAGGGTGGGACAGGACCTCTGTCCGGGTCAGCAGGACGGGGGTGGGAAACTGACCGATGAAGCCCAGCTGGGAGAATTCCAGGATCATCCAGTCCTCCGAGGGCTGCTGGAGTGCGAAGTTCTTCATGGTGCTCAGGTAGTTGGGCTTGGCCACTATGTCGTCCTCCAGCTGCACAGGGAGGGGTAGAGGAGGCTCAAGTCGGCACAGCGCAGGGCAGCCCACAGCCCCAGCCAGGATCTGGGGTCAGGGGTCAGGGCAGGGATCGGTGCTGACCTGAACATAGTAGATGCCTTTGGACTGCGCGTACATCATAAGGAAGCAGTAATCGAGGTTCTGTTTGGTCCTCCACCTGCAGGCCAGGGGCAGGGGCCTCAGGAGCTCAGACCCTCCCCCTCATGTGTGGGAGGAACACCCCACCCCTGTGCAGGGGCCTCCCAAGGAGAAGCAAGGCCCTGTGACCAACAGCCTGAGCTCTGGCCACTGCTGGGGGCGCCGGAAGGGGGTAGTGCTAATACCTGACTCTCTCCTTGGGATCCCCAAAGGACTCTCGGAGTCGGGAGAAGTCAGGGTAGAAGTGGGGGGAAGGGGAGATGACCTCCAGGAGCCCAGAATGGATCTCCGTGGGGAACCTGGGAGACAGAAAGGCCCCGTGATGCGCAGCCTCCAGGGCCTGGGGCAGGGACAGAGTGGGGCCAGCAAGGCCCTGCCCCTTTTGTAAGGCCCACTAGGCAGACACCGCCTGCATTACAACCAGCCTCCTGAGGCAATGGGGCTTAGAGGGGTCTGGCCGCCTCTGCACACCCACTGCCTTTTGGAGAGGGGAAGTCCCCACCCCCTGGAGAGCACTATCCTGTGCCCAGAGTGGGAGGCAGAAGTCTGCCCCCCCACACCCCACAGAGGGCCCTCCTTCCCCCAGCTGGGATGGCCACCAGCACTCACAAGGCCTTGATGCTTTCCGTCACCGCCGAGGTGTACTGTGGGTCGGTCTGTGGGGACACCAAGCACCCTCCCTAAGTGGACTGCCAGTGCAAAAGGCCTGGAAGAAGGGGCTCAGGGGCAGGGCCTGGTCTTCAGATGACCCCTCGCATAGAGGGAGTGGGTTCCTGAGGGGGGAGTATGGCTGGGCCTGGTGGCCACAGGGGTCTCAGGAAGAGCCCTTTGGGGATGTACTTGGGGCGGTGGAATCAGGGCACCCTAGGTAAACAGCATCTCCACAAGAGGGCATTAAAGTGTTTCTTTCCTTTAAACATTTTTTTAAAAACTTTATTTATTTTTAGAGAGAGAGGAAGGGAGGTAGAAAAAGAGAGAGAGAAACATTGGTGTGCCAGAGATACTTTGCTAGGTTGCCTCTTGCCTGCCCCCTACTGGGGAGCTGGCCCGAAACCCAGGCATGTGCCCTGAGTGGGAATCAAACCAGCGACCTTTTGGTCCACAGGCCAGCAGGCAATGCACTGAGCCACACCAGCCAGGGCTCTTCCCTTTTTTACTTTGACAAATTTGTGAATGGCAGTGACCCTCTACTTGCTTTCCCCTCTAGAATGTCGCCCTGTTTCCCTCTCTGCTCCTTGTTATCTGGTGCGTGTGCCTCCCCCGCCCCCACCTCCAGTGCGGCCCACTCGCCTCAGCGATCAGCACCACGATGACTGAGTCCTCCTTCTCCTGCGGACTCAGCTCGGAGATGAGTGAGTGCAGCGTGTCCGTCAGGTAGGAGTGCACCTCTCGCCGCACGCTGGGGATGCCCATCACCACCGACACTGCCGGGACCACAAGTGGGTCAGGCCCGACAGTGGACCACCGCCCAGTCCCTGGCCATGCCCAGCCCTGCCCCTACCTCCAGTGCGGCCCTGGCCCACGCGAACGGCCGGCTGCAGGCTGCTTTCCTTGGCCAGCAGGTGCGGCAGGTGGTGGAAGACAGTGGGCAGGTGCAGCACGTGCTTGTGCGAGATGTTCCACGGTTTCAGGCGCGGGTCCTCTGGGTGGGTCAGGAAAGGGCAGGTGAGACAGCTGGACGCCACCAGCTCCACCTCCCCTGTGCCCCGCCTGGGCCCGCCCTCACCGGTTAGGCGGCCCCAGGTGCGGTTGCTGTCTCTGTCCCGTAGCGCCTGCCTCTCTGACACGGCCCTCTTGATCTCGTCCAGCACCAGGTTGAGCTCCTTGGAGCGCTTGAGGCTCTCTTGCTCAGCGGCGTGCAACCGGTCCCGCAGTGCCAGGAACTCGCGCTGGTACACATCCACCACATCGCCTGTGGGTGGTACCGCATGCTGTCACCAGGGGGCGCCCCAGAGCGGACCCACGGTCCCCTTGAGGGTGCTGGCGCACACATCTTCGTGCGCATCAGTGCTATAGACCAGGGGTCCCCAACCCCACGGCCAGGGACCCCTACTGGCTTGTGGCCTATTAGGAAACAGGCCGCACAGCAGAATGTGAGCGGCAGGCAGGCGGGCGAGCTAGCAACGTTTCATCTGCATTTACAGACGCTCCCCATCGCTGGCATCACGGCCGGAGCCCCGCCTGCAGTCAGATCACTGGTGGCATTAGAGTCTCACAGGAGCAAGAACCCTGCTGTGAGCTGTGCCTGCTGTGAGCTGTGTTCGCAAGGGATCTAGTCTTGGCTTCAGGAATGAGAGTCCACCTCCCGAGGACCTGCAGTAGAGCTGAGGCAGGGATGCGAGCGCGGGGGTAGCTGCAAGCACAGATCCTCATTAGCAGACAGGTGTGACTGCACACAGGCCAGGACGAATCAATGGCTTGTGGACTCACTCGTATCAAAGCCCTATCCATGAACAGCAAGTGACAATTAAGCTGCACCTGGTGGCAGGCTATAAAGCCATCCCCCTCTGGTCTGTGGAAAAACTTTTTCACAAAAGCCATCCCTGGTGCCAAAACGGCGGGGGACTGCTGCTACAGAGTGCACCTGTCCTCACACCTGCCACGTCCCAGTGCTCTGAGGGCTCACTGGCACCCCTGGGGGAGAAGAGCCTCCACTGGGAGGACCGGCCCTCTCCAGTTCTCTCCCAAGCCCCCACCCCCCACTCTCCTTCCCTCTGAGGTGGAAGGGCTGCAGGGCCACTTCAAGCCCCGGGGGGGGGGGGCATTACTAAGCAGAGGCTGGAATAGCCTCAGACTAAAGCCTTTCCACCCAGTTGCTTTCAAAGACCCTTCTGGCTTCTCCTTGCAGCATCTGCTCCTTCCAGGGGCCAGTACACCCAAAGGTCCCATCCAGGACACAAGGCCCCAGTCCTTCCTCAGGAGCTTCTTAGCACCCAGCCTTGCCCCCTCCCTCCTCTCCCTGCCCTGCTTCACAGAGATGCCCAAGGCCCTCTGGGGACAGACAATCTCCCTGAGCTCCCCTCCCATCCTCCCTGTAGGACTGAGCCTAGACACAGGGTCTGTGACCGGTGCCCCGGTGCCCCTTCATCATTGTCCTCATGGTCATCACTGGTTGCTCAACTGTGCACTAGCCACCACCTCTGGATTCCTTCAGTCTCATGCCAGCCCTGGGGGTGGCTGCTCCTGTTCTAGCTCCCAGCACTCGAACGAGCAAATGAAGCTGAGACACTAGTCCAGGTCACTTGGTGAGTTGGCAGCGGAGAGGGACCAGCTCTGAAGGCCGGAGGCCTGCCCCGAAGGAGACCTGCATTGGAACCTCCAGCTGAGCCCCAGTTCCAGGCGTCGGGGTGCTGGGAGAGGAGCAGCACAGAGATGGGGCTGCCTGACAGGGCAGAGGACTCCCCAGGGTGCCTGCACCTGGCCCCACTGGTCAGGCAGGCAGGGACCAGTGAGCAAGATGAGACAAGCAACACGCCCCCCAGTCCTCCTGGCCGTCTTCGCCTGCTGTAGGAGGTGAAGCTCTTTCTGGGCCTGGTTTCCATCTCCCACCCCTGGCAGCTCTCTGCCCCTCAGTCCCTGGTGAGGTCGCAGCCCCCAGAATGCTCTAGACGGTGTCACCGCCCACAGCCATGGGCACTTGGGGTCACAGCCAAAGCAAGTCACCTCAGGACACAGCTACTTCCGCAGCACTTCATACCCAGCTTGCCCCAACTTCCATCCCCACACCCAACCTACTGGGGACAGCCCTGTGGGGGCGGGGGGGGGGCGTGGTGCCGGAGGAACTCAGGTTACCAAATCTTCTAGGTCCTCGCTGAGTTCCGAGGCCAGGTTACCAGGTTACCCTGGAAATCTGAACCCCTGAACAGGAGGAGCTGGCCATCTCTGATGCTGGTGGGGGAGGTGCTGAGGCCTTGCAGGAGGCAGTTCAGAGCTACTTTGGACCCCAGGACATGGCAAGTGGCCTCCCTTCTGCCTAAGTCCCAAGCCATCTACCAATTGGTCCCTGCCGCCTCCCCAGTGCAGTGGAGCCACTAAGCCCTGCCCAAGGCAGCCCCTGGCACGGGGCCCTTTGTGAAGCAGGGGGAACGTGAGGAGGCCTCCCCTACCCTGACTGCGTCTCAACCTGTCCTCCCCCTCTCTGATCTTCAAGTAGGATGAGCTCAGCCCAACCCTGGTCAGCCCCAGGTGGACAGGTCAGGTGGGCTGCAGTACCCACGGCCACCCTGCACCACCCTGACCACAGCCTGCTCTGGACCCCGGCTGCCTTTCCCAGGGACCGCCCTCTGCCCAGGTCCTGAGCTTCCCCCATTTACTAAGAACTGGTGATGGGCACTGGGATTCTGGGCCTGGCTCTGTGCCCCCGCTCCCCGCTCCAGGACCTTCTGTCATTTCCCTGAACACTGAGGCCCTGTCCCTCAGCATCCTGCCCCTGCTCCTGCTCTGCCTGCTGCCTGCAAGGTCCCCAGCCTGACCCACGTCCCTGGCTTCTTGCTCGTGGGTCCAATCTTTCCTTGCCTGTCAAAGCCAGAACCTCAAGCTCTGTGCATGCCTACCCAGGCGCTGAGCTCAGGCCGGAGCTCTGCCAGGCCCCCGTGGCTCTTCACGACCTTCCTGCGCTGGGTGGCTGGACTGAAGTGGGGAGTGGGCTGGGAGAGCAGCTTGAGTGATGGGAAGGGCGAAGGTCTGGGAGCCCCTGGTTTCTGGGGGCTGGGCAGGAGTTCCTGGGTGCTGGCTTCTCTTTCCAGGCTACACCTTCCTGCCCCAGGGAAGTGGTGTGGGGGGCCTGGCCCCCAGCGCAGCTGGCTCCAGAGAAGGGCTGCAGCTGTGACCACTGTGAGAGGTTTTCTCAGCCGAAGGCAGAGTAACCAGGATGCCTGAGGCTCATGGACCACAACCTTCCCTCTGGTCCTCTCTTGGCTGAAGAAAGCAGCCTTGTGCCCCTTAGTCAGGGAAGGGGAACAGGCACAGAGGGACACAGGTTGGAACCGGGCCCAGGGAAGGTCTGCCGTCCACCGGCAGGCGGGGCAGGAGGTGGAGAGGGGGCGCGTGTTCACCTCCTCTCCAGGACTCGCACCCATCCTCCCAGTGGTCAAGAAGGGCGCCCTGGCTCTGGCAGAGCAGCTCAGCTGGTTAGTGTCCTCCCCACACACCAAGGCTGTGGGTTCAGTCCCTCGTCAGGGGACATTTGAGAAGCAACCAATGAGTGCGTAAGTAAGTGGAACGATAAGGCAAGGTTTCTGTCTATCTCTTGCTCTCTCTCCCCCTCCCCCTTCCTTTCTCTCTTTAAAATCAATTAAACAAACAAACAGAAGGGTGTCAATTCCTGCTGAAGGACAGGATGTTGGGATGCTAAGGAGTGCCCCTGTGGCTGAAGCTGGCCCCCTGGGGGATCTGCAGTCCTCTGTGGGGACAGGCCTTCAGCAGACCCTTGGCTGAGGGCCCCATTGTGAGGGCTGGCAGAACTGTTGCACAGACGGGGCCCAGCCTGGCTGTGAACCCTCACCTGGGGCAGTCTCACCAAGGCCTACACATCCTTCCTGGCCCCGGGCTTCCTGGATGTCACCTTCTCCTGCTGCTTCCTTCCTCTCTGGCCACCTGCCCACCTTCTCCCTTCCCCACAGGCCCAGGTTCCTCTGCCCTTACCCCAAGTATGGGGGCCTGGGCTCCCCACCTGCTGCCCCCTGGAAGCCAGGATGCAGTCTGACCTCAGCCAGGTTTAGTCTGGCTTCCCCCCAGGCTTCATACAGCCGTCTACATGTGAGAATGAGCAGAGTCACGTAAGAGCCCAGATTCAGGCTTTCTCTCGGGGTCGCCAAAGGTCTGGCCCTGCTAGGCCCCCCAAAACAGCGGTACCCCTCCTCACATCTCAGGCTCCTGGGCGTGCCCAGGGACAAGGAACCATGCACCGGAGCTCCACAACTCTTCATCTGAGGGCGTTCTCGTACTCCTCAGGCCCCCAGGGTACCAGTCTCCTCGATGCCCCCTTCAGGGATAGCGGGCCCCAAATGGAGCCCCTGGAGTCCCCTCACTCCACTGCTCTGGGCACTGGCTCCCCTGTGCCACCCAGGCTTCTATAGAAGGGGTCCTGGTGGGGCTTGTGCTGCAGTCCTGACATGAGGCAGAGGGCCTGTGGCTGCTGCAGGAGGCCCATGGAAACTGCACCCTGGCCAAGGACAAAGTGCAGGGGCTCATTACCCACTCACTGTCAGATGCAGCCCCACCTGGGGCCCCCTGCCACTCTGTTTGCACAGTCACTCCTCCAAGGGTTCAAAGTGCCCTCCTCCAGGTGACACCCCCACCTAGAGACCCAGAGAGAACTCTGCCCTGGGCAAGGCCTCCCTGTGCTAAGACTTGGCCTCCACCCATACAGGAGGGCTGTGCTAGGCTAGGCTGGGCAGGCAGGAGCAGACGGGGGCTTTTGGGGCTTGGAGGGTCAGGAAGGCTCTAGCCCCACCACCAGCCCTCCCGCTCCAGCCTTCCATAGGGGACAGGGAAGCAGGAGGTAGGAGGTAGACAGAGGGTCTGCTGGCCTCAGCCTGACCCTGCTTGGGCCTTCTGCAGGAAGGCCAGGAGGCAGGAGGGAAGCAGCTTTTCCCCAGGCTTCCAGGGCGGCCCCAGCCAACACCAAGTGACTACAGCCTGTCTCCCCCACCTGCTTCCCCCAAGTATGCTGGCCAGAATCAGAAAGCCTGGGTGATGGACTGGCCAACTTGACCAAGCCATGACACCGCACAAAGTGAGTTAACGGGCAGCAGGGGCCGGTCTGGCTGCTCCTGAGGCCCTCCACGCACCCCTGGGCTGTCTGGCCCAGCACCCAGGAGGGCCCTGTGGGGCAGTTCTGGGCAGCGGATGTCATGGAAGGCTGTGGATACCCCAGGGAGTGCCCGGCGTGGGCTAGGGTGAAGGGTGGTGTGGGGTGGGGTAGAGGGCCACTGCCTGGATGTCTGCTGTCCCCTGACACCTGTCTCAGGAACACAATATTTACTCCTGCTCAGGTGCCTGGAGCTGGTACCTTGGGACCTGGCACAGCCACCGCTGTGACCTTGTATCTCTGTCCCTCTCTGAGAATTTCTAGGTCCCCCGCTACTCAGTGGGAGCGACCACCGTCGCTGGGCGTAACTGTACTCATGGAGGCGCGCCCCAGCGCCTCATGGGGGCCCCCGAGATGCCCCGGCCCGCGGCCCAACGCGGGCCAGAAGAGAATTTCATTATTCCGGCAGCAAACAAGTGGGGGCGAGGATGGGAGGGGCGTCCTTCCGCGCCGCCGGGCGGGGAAGGGCGCCCGCGTCGGCTTCCGGCCGCCTCCCGCGGCCACTGCCCGGACCCGCTCGGCCGCGGGCGCCCAGGTGCGCCCAGGTGCGGGCTGAGTCGCGGGGCGCCGGGAGCTCACCTTTCTGGCCGCCCAGGGCCGCGTACCACGAGAGCGAGAGGAAGGCGCACAGGCAGAGCAGCAGCAGCGTCAGGAAGGTGCCATTGCGGAGCCTCATCTCCTCCGGTGCGCGGCAGGCGCCGGCGGGGCCGAGGCCGCATGGCCCGGGGAGCCGGGGCCGGGGCGCGGGGTAGGGGGCCGGGGTGGGGGTGGGGGGTGGGCCCGGCCCCGGGGCGGGGCAGGGCGGGGCCCGGGGCCGGGCGGGGCCCGGAACGGTTCCTCCCGGGCGCGGGGCACGGGTGCGGGGCCTTCCTCCGCCGCTGGACCAGGCCGGCCTGGGCTGGGCTGGGCTGGGCTGGGCGGCGAGAGCCGCGGCCCGGCCTGGATCCGGGACCGCCGCGGAGTCGGCGGCGCAGGGCGGGGCGGCCCGGATTTAAAGGGGCCGTAGCACCCGCCGCCGCCGCCCGCCCTGCGAGGAGGTGGGGTGCGGAGCAGCGCCCTGCTCGCGACAGCGGCCGCCGCGAGAGCTCGCCGAGCCGCCCTGGGTCCGGCCTCCGGTGGGATGGGGCGGTGCCTTCGCGAGTGCGGCGGACTGCTGAGGGGCAGGCAGCACGCCCTCGTCCCCGCAACCCGAGCCGCACCGCACCCCACCCAATCCGAACCGACTCCCGGTCACTCGGGGATCCCCAGGCCTCTCCCCCAGGTCTGAGAAGGGTCTGGACGGTGGGAGGGGGAAGGCATGGCCGGAGCTGGTGGGCCTCTAGCCAGGGGACTCGGCGGAATGGCCCTGCCTGCACCGACACCCACGGCTACCCCCCTTCCCAGGACCTTTTCCAGTCGGCTGGATAAAAGCATGTTGGGGACAGACGATGCTCCTCCTTCGTAAAATAGGAGCAGTGGGATGTTTTCAGGAGTAAAGGGGCTGATCTATGCAGGCAGTGGGCACAGAGTCTGGCCCAGAGCTGGACTGGTCTCCCAGGTGTCAGGCGCAGGGGAATGGAAGCTAGCACAACCGTGCAGGTGATTCGCTCCGGGGGTCCCCAGCCGCCCAGCTCCTCCTCTCCCTTTATGGCATGGCGCTCACTTGCACTTTCATTCGTGTGCCATCCCGGGCTTTCCCCAGTTCTCTGTGGAACTGGGAAGGGGACAAACCATAAAGGGATTAGTTCAACACAGGCTGGGGGGGGGGCACTGGGGGCCTCAGCGCCACTGCTCGTAGTCCTGAGTCCTGGCCCTGGCTGCAGTGGCCCTGAGGGCACTGGGGTGGAGGGTGGCTTTTGGGGACAGGTTCAGGCTGGAAGATGCTGGGCATTTGTCTTCTGCTTTCAGCCCAGACCCACACCTGGGGCAAGATGGAAGCCTGGGAGCAGGTAGGGCCAGGGCATTCGCCTCTGAGACATTTCTGCCAGCAGCAGTAAGGCAGGGCCAGTGGCTGAGGGGGCTGGTGCTGGGGCCTGATTCAGTGACCCGCCCCCTTTTCCCGCAGGCAGGCGGGGTGCCAGTGGTGGTGGAGCAGCGCTGTTCCCCCCACTTGCTGATGAACTGGACGACGGGCTGAGCCTGGCCTTGCAGAGCCTTCTGGAGGAAACTGGCTTGTTCCAAGTGCCTCTGTTTTTGCAGGCACCTTGTGTTTGTAGTGAGGGATAAGAATTTTCATTTGGGCTGTGATACAAAGGGTTTATTTATTTTTTAAATGTGTATTGAAGTTTTAAAATGAGTTGATTTAAGGAAATTGAACCAGTAAAAATTAAGGAGATGGCCTGTCAGTAACTAAAGTTTGGGAAGCTCACGTCTCCCCCTCCACACTTTGGCTTTGGGGCAGGAGGAGCAGGGAGTGGGGCTGGGAGGATGACTGGGGAGGGGGGTGGCATCCTGCCTTGACCCCTAGAGAGGGCAAGGCCTCTGTCAGGAATGGGACCACTGTGGGCCAGGGTGGGGGAGGGGGTGGTCGGGTCCGGAGTGATGGGAGAGGGGCCAGGGTGAGTCGACTGGAGGGGGTCATGCACCGAAACTGGTGGCTGAGTTTGGGCAACCATGGGATCCAGGTGGTGGAGACAGAAGGCCACCTTTCCGATCCCTCCAGCCCTGCTGTTTCCTCCCCACTGCCCCAGCAGAATCCTGGGAGGGGGGTCCTCTGGGCCACACACCCACTTAAGGGCAAGTGCTCACCACTGGGCCGAGAATGGGTCCGCACTAGGCTCCCCTGTCCGCCAGGACTGTACAGGGAGGGCAAGAACAGTGTGGTGCTGCCACCAGGAGGGGCTGGAGAGCATGGTCATGGAGTGAGCAGAAACCTACGGGACTCTGACCCCCAGGGCCTGCAGAAATGGCAAGGCCCCACTGCAGGCGTGCTTCAGGCCCCGTGGGGCCCCTCCCCACAGCCTCTGCACTCCCAGCTGTAGCCTTTGAAACTCCAACAGTTGGCTGGCTCCTGGCCAGTTTTCCAGGGCTCTCGGTGCCCTTACTGCAATGCGTTCCTCGGGGTCTGGTTGCACCCCAACTCCCTCTGGCACTTCTAGGCAGGTGAGCTCTGCCTGCCGTCCTGCCACCGAGGATGGGGCGCCCCTCACCCAAGGGTTCACCTTCTTTACTGAGGACAGTGACACTGGCCAGATGGGCGCAGAAAGTCCTGCTTTCTCTCCCGACCAGGCTGTGGGCCTGCCCTCTTTGTTCTTCTTGCTTCCCACAAAGTGAAAAATGCCTTTGAGTTGGGATTCCAAGCCAGCCCTCAGCCCACACTGGAGATTTTCTGGGAGAGCCTCCCAGAAAATCCTCCCATCCTTCCTCACGGGGCTTCTTAGCCTATGGCCTCGGGATCCAGGGGTGGGGAGGTATAAGAGCTGAGACGAGAAAAAGAAAATTGATCTTTATTTTTCCTAACCTCTGACTGGAACTTGGCATTTCCTCGAGTTGTGAATGGAGGCAGCAAAGTCCAGCAGAATCCGCAGCCTGGGGCTGTCACACAGCAGCCTCCCGGGCTTCTGCCCGTTCTGGCGCCGCCGCTGCCGCCGCCGCTCCCTGTGCCACTGGTCTGATGGGTCCTGCCTCTACATCTTGTAATGTGATGAGTTAGTAAAGAATCACAGCTATTTCTGCATGGTAACTTGGTGTGTGTTTTTGTAATCTGGTATTTGCATTTCAATATTAGCAGTCCTTTTATAATGCATTGTATTTTATGCATTTTAAAATATGGTTCTGCCTTGGCTGGTGTGACTCAGTGGATTGAGTGCCAGCCTGTGAACCAAAGGGTTGTGGGTTCAGTTCCCAGTCCGGGCACATGCCTGGGTTGCCATCCAGGCCCCCAGAAGGGGGTTCGCGAGAGACAACCACATATTGATGTTTCTCCCCCTTCCTTTCTCCCTCCCTTCCTCTCTCTAAAAAATTTTTTTAATCTGTAAAAAAAACAAAACCAAACAAAAAACATGTTTCTAAGCAGGGGCCCTTCATCTCCTCCCCTCGCTGAGGTGTCTCTGGCACAGAGAGTGGGTAGTCCTGCCTGGGCCTCACCTCAGCCCTCTGCTGGCCCGTCTTTCCTTGGATGCCTCCTTCTTGTGTTCACTCATAACAAGGTTCATGGGGCTCAGAGAGCTCCCCCTGGAGGAAGGGACCCTGCCTGGAGGCCATAGGCCTCCCTGAGAAAATGAGGTTAGCCGTCGGACCCAGGGGCGAGAGAGGCGGGGTTGCCTGGAGAAGCTGGCCCGGTGGTTCGGCACATGCGGATGTCTCTGTTGAAGGAACCCCAGGCCACCAGGGCAGAGCTCAGAGCACCAGTGCCTCGCACGCCTTGTCAGTGCTTTGGGTTCTTACCCTTGGGTAAAAGCAGGGAGAGGAGTGGGGGGTGCCCTGGGGTCGATACAGCCAATCTGCATTTTGAAATGATTACTTGGGCATAGAGAAGGGACCAGAGAGAGTAAGAGAGGAAGCGGGGAGACCAGCCAGGAGCTCTCGTAGGGAAAGGGGTCCAGAATAAACCTCTGTGGCAGGAAAATTATTTTTGAGTGGAAGGCATTTGAAAATAGGCTTTTTTTCCTGACGGTTCAATTGTTCCAGCCCTTTCCCAGGAGCAACCAGGGGAGATTGATCTAGTCACCCAATAAACTCAGGGTCACACAGTGCTGTCAACCCTGTCTCCCATCCGTCCCTAAGGGCCCCTTTCCTAGTCACTTATACCCTGTAAGTGCCTTTCTCCGCCCACCCCCGCATCCCCTAGTAAGTTAGCATTTAAGCCCCCAAATTCTAACTGCCTAGTACTTGAATAAAAATCTGTTTTCATTCTTGTTACTCCGTTTTATGTCAGTTGAAGTCACAGTCCCCAACTACTGAACACAAGAGGGCGGAGGAAAGGTCTCTCTGTCTTCACATAGGCATCTAGGTGGGGGATGGCCTGGAATGGGGAGCGAGGTTAGAGATGAAACAATGAGTTCAGGACGATCCTTAGGAGACTGTATATCACCGAGGTCAAGGGCATGGACTAAACCCTGACTGGTGCGGCTCAGTGGGCTGGACCAGCTTGCAGAAGTGAAAAGTCACCGGTGGATTCCCTGTCAGGGAGGGCACATGCCTAGTTGCGGATTTGGTTCCTGGTCAGGTTGTGTTCAGGAGGCAACCAGTCGATGTTTCTCTCTCACATTGGTGTTTCTCTCCCTCTCTTCCTCCCTTCACCTCTCTAAAATTAAATAAATAAAATCTTTAAAAAAAAAGCATGACCAGAAAGACAGCCTGCCCCCCACCTCACTGTTGTGGCTCCGCCCCCGTGTGACCCCACATGTGACTTTGTGCCAGTTGGTTTGTTCCAGCCCCTTCCCCAGGTAAGGTGGGGAGAATTATCCTTCAGAACAGGCTCATTAGACTGCCCAACCACCCCAACTTCTATGGTTTGATAAAGGCGTCTTTCTCACGTCTGTGCAGCTTTCAAGGGTCCCCTGGGGCTCTGCTCCTGGGCCCATCCCGGCGGCGGGATTAGCCACCCAAACATGGGAAGCTTCCCTGGCAAAGGGAGGGAGGGCGCCAGCAGCTCCGGCCTGGGCCCGTGAAATAGGGCTGGGACCTCTCGGTGACAGGCCGCTCTTCCGTGTCCGGTCCTTGGCTGTCACTAATCACATGGTCTCACCTCAAGGAAGCAAGTGGGTTAACGTACATAAAACATTCAGAAGGCTTCCTGGCATAAGGGAAGCACTACTTGAACGTTACTGCTGTTATTACTGGGATGTGTGACCAACTGGAACTGGGGGACATGATGTGGCCACGGCTGACCCCACGCTTCTGGCTTGCGTTCTGGTAGCCAGCACCGCCCCTGGGACCCTGGAGTAGGCATGGCGGGTGGGCAAGCACTGGTTCGGAACTTGGGTTTAACTGACCTAGACCCACAGCAGCTGGCTGACGCCCTCTCACGATGCAGCCCCAGGCCTGCCGGGACCAG